GAAAAAAAAAAAAAAAAAAAAAAAAAAAAAAAAAAGAAAGAAATGTGGAAATCATTAGAAATGAGGAGGATGAGGATCTGAGAAGCCAGATGTCAGATGATTCTCATCCTGTGAGGATGCTGAAGACGCCCAAGAGCAGAGCTGCAAATGTAGCAGTTATCAATTTCAGTGCTGCAGACGTTGCTCATTGCCTGCTTCTTTTATACTGTCCTGGCAGGAGGAGTGGCACCTCCTCCACCACCCCCAGTGTTCTGGTTTCTAGTTAAGGACAGTTCTTCCAGCCACCTTTTGGCCCCAGACTAACAGCACCCCTTGGTAGATATTGGTTTACCAATCTAGGAGGGTATTAATATTCATTCTAAAATGCTGGATTAACTCCATAGTCTTATTTAATATGGTATCGGTTACCACCTTAGTATTGCAGTAGGAACCTAGAAACCACTATTGACTATTTTATATGGAACTATAAAGCTGGCTGGGGGGGCCGGCCCGGTGGCACACTGCTACAGTGCGCCGCTTGGGAGCAAGGCGGTGCTTCCGCCGAGGTTTCGGATCCCACATACAGACCGGCGCTCACTGGCTGAGCGAGGCGCGGGTGCAACACCGAGGGTTGCGATCCGTTGCCGGTCACGAAAAAAGACAAAACAAAACAAAAAAAGCTGGCTGGGAAAGAAGGAGTAAGTCTCCCAAAGGGCTCCTTTTAGTATGCTTAATACTGATACTCAGTAGCCATTTGATTGCATTTTCCTCTGATGTTATTTCCCACGTTGTGTGTGTTGGTTGTGTGGGACCCCCTCCCCAAGTGCTGGTCTCAGTAATAACCATGGTGATGATCATGGAGGTTTCCAGGAAAACAAGCTACATCTACAGCAACATGTGTCCCTGGAGTTTCTTAAGCTGACTCAGTTCCTGCACAGCAAAGAAAAAGACATTTTAAATGAGCTCCGGGAAGAGGGGAAAGCCTTGAATGAAGAGATGGAGCTGAATCTGAACCAGCTTCAGGAGCAGTGTCTCCTAGCCAAGGATATGTTGGTGAGCATTCAGGCACGGATGGAAGAACAGAACTCCTTCAATTTTCTCAAAGTGAGACCCCATACCAACATGATTATGGGTACACTTAGAGGGGAGAAGAGGGTTGGAAAGAGTGTAGAAGTGGCTTTTCACTGCCAAGGAAAACAAAGCAAAACAAAACTGCCGTAAAGCTTTCAAGATTCTCTGGGAGAAAAGCAGGAGGCTATTTTTGCTTTATGCTAAGCAGAAAGCTTTACTTTCATCCCCAAACAAGATAATAAAATCCCATTAATGTATTAATATTTTAATATTCTTTCATAAAGAACTTTGAAGCTTTATTTCTCAAAAATGAGAAAGTTGCAGCCTGAGCTGTATCTCTGACTGGCTCACGGCAATCATAAATTGACCTGAAAGCTGTTTGTCAACCTTTGCTACCTGAAGCTTCACTTCTAAAGTGGCATTGGTTACCACCTCAGCACTTAGAAGTTCACTTAGCCACAGTAAGGAAAAGTGGCCTTGGAACTGGAATATCTACCGTGTTTTTCTTCTGATACTACTTGAAAGCTCTCATATAGGTAAAAATAGGTTAACCTTAATTATTGTCTTATTGGTTTCTCTCTTTTTCCCTGTAAAAGGGAACTTTAGAAAATCAGAGCAAGGTAAGGGAAGTTTATCCTGGGTTAGATAGGGGATACAGATCAGAAAAAGCATATGGATTATTGACAAAATAAAAATTTATCAAAAAAAAATAAAATGTATTATCTCATACAACAAAAAAAAAAAAAAAAAAGAAAAAGAAAAAGCATATGGAGGATGAAAGAAGTGGGTGGGCATGGGTTGGAGACCATATGCACAGAATCCTAGTATTGATGATCAAATTCTTGCGGGGGCCAGTATCACCAAAGAAATTTTTGGAGTTTATAAACAGGCATCTGACTTCTCTATTTCTCCTTTCTTCTTTCAGGACATCTCAGCTCTCTTGGATAGGTAAGTGTTTCCCTATGGTACTCTTAATACCTTTCCTTCAGTCCCTAGAGAATGTCTAAGAATAAATGATTTATGTCCTCTGCAGCTTGCAGCAAGGAATGAGAGCTCTGGCACCCAGAGAGCTTATCTCCAGAAAGCTGGATCCAGGGCAGTTCAAAGGTCCCATCCAGTACATGATATGGAGGGAAATGCAGTCCATTCTCTCTCCAGGTATCAGTGGGTAGTAACTATTGGTTCTTGGGGCTCTTAATCTGTGTGTCATCTGTGGGATCTCTTCTGTGGACCTAAGTAGTTCTGTAGAGTCTGGCACAGGGGAAAGGATAGAGTTTAGCCGAAAGGAGGCTAGTTGGTATGACTGAATTTTTTCTGGTTCCATGACCTAAGAATTTATGACTTTGTACTGGTAAATAGATAAGAGTCTGATATCAGAATTACTTCTCAGCCTATGATTTTGTTTGACTGTTATATCAAATGTGGCAACACCCAAAATTTTATCCTGTTTTGCTAAATCAGCTATATAAATCCCTGGGGCTTCTCTGCCCTGAAGAGGGAGATTTCCATACGTGCCCTTTGTATGTACATAGGGTCTTCACAGATCCTCTTGTGCTTGATGTTCACAGCATAGAGTATAACGTCTTAGGATATTGTTTAGAGATCATCAGTGCTTCAGAAGAAAACCAATAATTTCAATAAATGTGCCTAATATGGACACTAAGTTTTTGCTTAAGTTCTTGCAGATACTAAAGGACTGAGAAGGACTAAAGAGCACAAACGGTATTTCAAGAACATTAAATAGAATTCTAAATAAAAATCTTTATAGAAACAAAATTCTAAATAAAGTTTTTATAGAATTAATAATAGACACATTATTATTATTGTTTATGGTTACTGATTTAATGAAAATGACAAATATATCCTTGTTAATAATTTTTCCAGGTAGTTGAAATTGAAAACAAAAAACAAAAACCTACTTTGTGAGGTATAATTAACATAGAGTAAAATTCACCAATTTTAAGTGTACATTTTGATGAGATTTGACAAATATATACACTTCTGTAAACATCTCCATAATCAAGGTATAGAAAATTTCTATCACCCCCAAGAGTTCCCACATTCCCCTTTGTAGTCAATTCCTTCTCTCCCCAGCCCCAACACTCATTGATCTGCTTTATTTCACTTTAGATGCGTCTTTTCTAAATTTTCGTATAAATGAAATCATACATTATGTAGTCTTTTGTGTCTGGATTTTTTCACTTATCATAATACTTGTTAACATGTATTACATGTATAAATGACCATGTTTTATGGATACATCACAATTTGCTTATTCATTCACCAATTGGTAGACATTTGGGTAGTTTCTAGCTTTTGGCTATTATTAATAAAGTTACCTGAACAGTTGTTTACAAATCTTTGTGTTTTAGTTTCTTTGGGATAAATACCTAGTAGTGAGATTGCTGAATGTTTGTTAACTGTATGTTTAATTTTATAAAAAACTACCATATTTTTTTCTAAAGTGGAGGTACTATTTCACATTCCTACCTGCAATGGATGAGAGTCCCATTTTCTCTACCTCCTTGTCAGAACCTGATATTGTCATATTTTTGTTGGATTGTTTTATTATTAACTTGTAAAGGATACAAATCCTGGGGGCCAGTTGGTTAGCTCAGTTGGTTAAAGTGTGAGGTTGTAATACCAAGCTCAAGGGTTTGGATCCCCATACCAGCCAGCCACCAAAAAAAAAAAAAGGATAAAAATCCTTTATCAGATTTATATATTTTTATAATATTTTTTCTCACTCTATGGCTTGCCTTTTTATTTTCTTAAAAGAGTCTTTCAAAAAACAAAAGTTTTGGGCTGGCCCGTGGCTCACTTGGGAGAGTGTGGTGCTGATAACACCAAGGCCCCGGGTTCGGATCCCATATAGGGATGGCCGGTTCGCTCACTGGCTGAGCGTGGTGCTGACAACCCCAAGTCAAGGGTTAAGATTCCCTTACTGGTCATCTTTAAAAAAAAAAAAAAGTTTTTAATTTTGATGAAGTCCAATTTACCAGTTGAGTCACCAAAAAGTCATAAAAATCCTAAATGTGCTTCATGTATTTTGAAGCTCCATTATTAGGTGAGTATACCTGTAGGATTGTTATGACCTTTTGATGACTCAATCCCATTATAATTATGAAATGTTCATCTTTATCCCTGATAATATTCCTTTTTCTGAAGTCTATTTTGTCTAATATCAATATCGCTATGTGGTTTTCTTTAGATTTGCACAGAAAATCTTTTCCCCTCACCTTATTTTTAACTTATTTGTGTTTTTATATTTTAAGTATGTTTTATGTGGCTAGCATATAGTTAAGTCTTGCTTTTTATTTAATCTGACAATTTCTGTCTTATATTTTCATCTGGATGTGCACACTGGATTTCCCTGTCTTTTAATTAAAGTGTTTTGACTTTTTATATTTAATGTTATTATTGACTTAATTGGATTTAAATCTACCATCTTGGTATTTTTTTTTATCCATACCATCTGTCTTTGGTTCTTCTTTTCCCTATACCTTCTTTCTTTTGCACTGAGTGCCTTTTAGTTTTCCCTTTCATCTTCTTATTAGCTTATATTTGTACTTCTTTGTTTTATTAAAAAAAATTTTTTAGAATATGCTAATTACTCTGATTTGATCATCATGCATTGTACACAGGTATTGATATTCAACTCTGTGCCCCACAAATATGTATAATCAATTATGTTTCAATAAAACAAAAACATTTAAAAAAAGAATTGAAAACGTTTTTACATTTTTAATTGCTTTAGGATTTTGCAATATACATGTCTAACTCATCCCCCTCTACCTTCAAATAATATCACTTTACATATAGAGTAAAAACCTAACAACAGTATACTTTTACATCCCTCATCCTTTATGCTATTGTTGTCAAACATTTTATTTCTACATGTTATAAATTCCACATATATTGATATTTTTGCTTTAAATAGTCAATTATCTTTTAAAGAGATAAAAAAATGAAGAAATGTCTTTTACATTCACATATTTACAATTTTTGGCTCTCTTCATTCCTTTGTATAGAAACAGATTTCCATCTGATGTAATTTTTCCTTCTGCCTGAAGAGTTTCCTTTAACTTTTTTTTTGTAGTGCAAGTATGCTTTTTTTTTTTTCCTTTTTGTCTTTTTTCGTGTCCGGCAACGGATCGCAACCCTCAGTGTTGTGCCCGTACCGGACCGGGACCGGCAACGGGATCGCAACCCTCGGTGTTGCGGCCGCACCTTGCTCAGCCAGTGAGCGGGAACCGGTCTGTATGTGGGATCCGAACCCTCGGCGGGAGCGCCGCCGCGCTCCCAAGCGGCGCACTGTAGCAGTGCACCACCGGGCCGGCCCGCAAGTATGCTTTTGATGAATTGCCTCAGCTTTTGTTTGTCTGAAAAAATCTTTATTTTACCTTATTTTTTGAAAGATATTTTCCTGGTATAGAATTCTGGGTTGATGGATTTCTTTTTCATTACTTTAAAGACATCACTTTGCTTGGATACTAATTTTTTTCTTTTTAATGAGCTTTATTTTTCAGAATATTTTTAGATTTTTAAATTTTATAGAAAAATTGAGAAGATAGTACAGAGTTCTCATATACCTCATCCCCAGTTTCTCCTATTTTTAACATCTTACATTTAATATGATACAGTCTTTGTAACTAATAAACCAAAATTGATACATTATTGTTAACTAAAGCCCATAGTTCCTTTAGATTTCCTTAACTTTTACCTAATGTCATTTATAATTTTACATCTAAGAAAATCAGATGGGGTTTAATATAGGACTGTTTTACTGATAATGTATTATTCATCCATACATTCTCCCCCTATACAGAGTGGGAAACTTTTTTTCTATACTAATTGTGTTTCCCACCTAAGATGCTGCATTACACTTAGTTGTCATGTTTCTTAGGCTCCTCCTGGCTGTGACAGTTTCTCAGACTTTCCTTGTTTTTGATGACTTTGATTTTTTTTTTTTTTTGGTGGATGGCTAGTACTGGGACTTTGACAGTTTTGAGGAGTACCAGTCATATATTTTGTAGGATGCTGCACTATTACAATTTGTTTGATGTTTTTCTCATGATAAAACTTATGAGTTACGAGTTATTGAGAGGAAGACAATAGCTCTAAAGTGCCATTTTAATCACATCATATCAAGTGTAAATACCATCAACATGATTTATGATTGCTGATGGCTTTACTCATCTGGCTGAGGGAGTGTTTCTCAGATTTCCCCACAGTAAAGTTTTTCCCTTCTTCCCTACCGTACACTCTGGAAGGCAGTCGCTATGTGCACCCCATACTTAAGAAGTGGGTAGTTATGCTCCCCTCCTAGGAGTATAAATTACTTGGAATTCTGATGTACAAGGAATTTGTCCCTCTGGATGGTAATTTTTTATTAGATGCCAAATATGATAAATCTTACATTGATGTTTGCTGGATTTTGTTGTAGTTCTTTAAGTTCTCTTCAACTTAACTGTGCCATGCAGTTACTTTATGTAAAATCATTTTGTTCCTTTTTTGGTTTTAGTTAAGCTTTGTTAGAGTGGTTTAAGAACAGTCTTTAATCTAGAGCTAACTTATCCCATTTTCTAAGGTAATACCCTTCTGAGTACTCTACCTCACGTTCACACATGATGACATTCTAAATTTTGGCCGACAAGACTGAAAACTATTCCCAATCTGTGTGAGCTCAAAAAATGTTCAGCCTACTGATTTCTGGAGATTCTTTCTCTGGACTTGAGTTTCATTGCATGCATGTGCACTCAGCCACAGCCTTAAGGGGATCCCTTTGTAGATGTTCAAAAGTCTCTTTATAGCTCCCTCCTCTTTGTTACTTTGCCCAGAGAATTCTAGCTGCCTCGGTATCACGCAGTGTTTTTCTTCCTGTATGCTTTGTCCTGATAAAGCCAAACTTCATTTCTAGTAATCTTTTAAAATGCAAACTGATTTTTGCTATTTCTGGTACAATTTCACATCTAAGAAAATCAGATGGGGTTTAATATATGACTGTTTTATTGATAATGTATTATTCGTCTATACACTCTCCCCCTATACAGAGTGGGAAACTTTTTTACTATGCTAATTGTGGTCAGAACTTGGTAAATATATTGCACACTTATTTCTAGGTCTTTGTTTATTCTGGAAGTCCATATTTCTCCTTT